GGCTTTGCCCCCAGCCCCTTCTTGGCTACGGGCCTGAACTCACCACACGAAGTTTGGCTTAATATAAACTTTATTAACCCCTTTGGTAGTTTTATATAAACGTTATAAGCCCCTTTAGTAGTTTATTTAACTTAATAACCATTTTGATAGTTTTATATAAACTTTATCAACTCGTTTTGGTAGTTTTATGTGAACTTTATCAACACTTTTGGTAGTTTTATATACACTTATCGACTCTTTTGCGTAGTTTATATAAATTTTATAAACCCTTTTGGTAGTTTTATATCAACGTTATCAACCCCTTTGGTAGTTTTATATCAACTTTCAACCCTTTTGGTAGTAGTTTTATATAAACGTTATAAGCCCCTCTAGTTTTATATAAACTTTATAAACCCTTTTAGGTAGTTTATATAAACTTTATAAGCCTCTTTAGTAGTTTTATTTAACCTTATCAACCCTTTTGGGTAGTTTTATATAAACTTTATAAACCTTTTCCGGTAGTTTATATAAACTTTATCAACCCGTGTAGGTAGTTTTATATAAACTTTATCAACCCTTGTAGATAGTTTTATATAAACTTTATCAACCCGTGTAGATAGTTTTATATAAACTTTATCAACCCTTTTGGTAGTTTTAAATACACTTTATCGACCTTTTTGGTTGTTTTATAAAAACTTTAAAAACGCTTTGGTAGTTTTATATAAACTTTAAAACACTTTTAGGTAGTTTTATATAAACTTTATCAACCATTTTGGTAGTTTTAAATACACTTTATCAACCCTTTTGGTAGTTTTAAATACACTTTATCGACCCTTTTGGTAGTTTTAAATACACTTTATCGACCCTTTTGGTAGTTTTAAATACACTTTATCGACCCTTTTGGTAGTTTTAAATACACTTTATCGACCCTTTTGGTAGTTTTATATACACTTTATCAACCCTTTTGGTAGTTTTAAATACACTTTATCGACCCTTTTGGTAGTTTTAAATACACTTTATCGACCCTTTTGGTAGTTTTAAATACACTTTATCGACCCTTTTGGTTGTTTTATAAAAACTTTAAAAACGCTTTGGTAGGTTTATATAAACTTTAAAACACTCTTAGGTAGGTTTATATAAACTTTATCAACCATTTTGGTAGTTTTAAATACACTTTATCAACCCTTTTGGTAGGTTTAAATACACTTTATCGACCCTTTTGGTAGTTTTAAATACACTTTATCGACCCTTTTGGTAGTTTTAAATACACTTTATCGAC